GATGAAATAGTGTAATAATATTGTGTTTTGTGATTTCTGTAAAAAAATACTTTTATACATAGTAGGTAAGGCGGATAAATAGTTATTTTGTAATTAAAAATGAATAAATAATTAAAAAAGATATTTGAAAGATAAATCCCTTGTAAAATTGAACTAAGGAAGAAATTTAATTTAAAATGTTTAAAAATTTAAAGATAAAACTAAATTATATTGCTAAAATAATAATTGAATTATGAGGGATGGACGTACCTACAGTATTCTTATACTACGAATAATAACAGATACAAATGTGTCAATACATATAAATATATGTTGGCGAGAGTAATCTATACTAAAAATGTTTGTTGAAAATATTCAGAAATTTTTTTTTTTTTTTTTTTTTTATTGATCTTAAGCTTCGGCAACTGAGGCCATTAGCTGTAGTAGGATTTGTATTGTAGGTTTGTTTGTATTGTATATTTTGGGACGGTAGGGGGGAACACGTGTGTGTTTGTTTTTGGCAGAATTTCGAANTTTTTGGCAGAATTTCGAATGGGGCACCCGTAGGTTTCTGCCATGCCCCGGGGGTGGGGGATGGCAGCACTTGTTCTCCGGTCACCGCGACTTGTCCGGAGAAAAATGCCGCCCGGTAGCCGAGGATCGAACCGCGACCGGCTGCGTCGCAGCGGACGCGTCAGACCACTCGGTCACCTCATCCCCCAAATATTCAGAAATTAATAACCGCGGGGACATGCAATTTTCACTTTACATTAAAATAAGAATCTTCTAATGTTTAATGTATATATATAAGACATTTAAAAATATTTTTGGTCTCTTTTTATCTACTTATTAACAGTTGAAATTTTCGAAATGGGCTGATAACATTTTAATTTTTAATAACTTCCCAAGACTTGATCATTTAATACTATGTTCTGAATATGCCTTGGTTCTGCATAATTTATTCTTAGAGGAAATTTAAAATATCGGAATAATAAATAATAATAATGAGCACAATTTTTTTTATATGCTTTTTAGGTTTAAACTTGACGAAATATGATATTCAAACCAAAAAATAACGAGGTTTTCCTGTAACCATTTTAGTTATTTTTTTGTAGCTGATAAACTATGAACCGTTGAGGCTTCGCACTTTTCACCATTATGCATATTTTTATTTTCAATACACAATGAAATTTTCAAAATATTTGAATTAATTTATACCATCACACATCTGTTCACACGGTACGTCATCAGTATGACGGTATATACTTATACGTAAGTTAATAACAATAATAATACATGATATATTGATAATATAATATTACCTATAATAATATAATAGGTACAATACATTATTGTGTGATGTTTTTGCAAAAATTAGTTCAACCTAAAAATAAAATATCCTTAGAAATATAGTATGACACCAGACACACTGTCTCCGCTCAAAATCGTTTTTCGTAATCAATAATTCATCATTGAATTCAAATTTAACACATCCACTACAGATGACTACTTTACTCGACGGAAAGATACACCCGAAACCAGTGTTCCCTAATTTTTTTTTTTTTTGCCACCCTACCTAATTTTATCTGAGCATTATGTTTAGTATAAAAAATTTAATTATTTAACTGTTTTGCTAGTTACTATAGTTGCATTTATTCTACGTGTCAAATCTCATCAAGTACAGCGAATTCCCCGGTTTTCTTTAAATAATTTATAGTGTGTAGGTTACTTTGTATTGAACAATATAACATACAACATACTTTAATGAAATAATAGTTTTTGATGTTATGTGAATCTAGTCATACACGTAGTATTAAGACATCGAACATACGATACTTATCGATTATGAGATGATATCCCGATTCGACGGATAAGTTTAAGAAACTATGAGAAATTCTTAAAACGATATCTGATTAAAAAAACGAAAAATACAGTAATCAATTAGACAAATGGGTAAATAGGCGGTATGTCAAAAATAGTGGTCGAAAATATGGATTCATCAATAAGTAATCACCATGTATTTTGTATTTAAACATACAGTCTGCAACGAACGAAAAACTGAAAAAATGTTAAAAATTAAATGACTTAATGAGTTATGAATAAACATGATCGTATATTATATTATGCTTATTATCGTGTAATGCGGTTTTAAAGCCTTCTGTCGCAAATATCATAAATTACATTGCAAACAATAAATTACAAACATTGTATAATCATACTACTCTTTTCAAACCTATGCAGCACGTGTTTTTCTCTTGCTTTATTTTTTTCGAAATATTTATTGCATTGACATTTGTTTATGTTTTCATTAATACGACTAGATGTTTGTCTAGTTATATTCTAATTTATGATAGTATATGAAGTTTTAAACGGGCGAATTAACTTGATTTAAAGAAATAAACTTGTAAGTTTCGAACAGAACTTGTTTCCGGCGCATAAAAATGCATATTTATTTCCAGTTACATGGATATTTTTTATTCGTACAATTATTTCAAACGATACCCAGGGATAATAATAAAAATAAAAATAAACTGTGCCGGAGAATAAAGTTTCTCATTCAATTAGTTTCAGATATTACGATAATCTCATTTAATAATAATATAAATTATACGATATACGTTTATTGAAATTCATTGCGTCGAAATCTTGTTTCATATACATAACGCGGACGAGTTTTCTATATTTTTCTCGTTAAGAGGACGTCGTGCTCTCGCATATGTTGTGTCCTTCTCGCTAATGCAGATCATAGCAAATTTTACTTTTAGAAGAACCCATTTTACTCTGTAATTTTTAACATTAGAGCAAATTGACGTATTTTTAAATTGACGAATAAAAATATTATCTTACAGGGCTCCACGGGCTCCACAAAGGGGCTTTTGGTGATATTTTAATATCTTAATAATCGTAACTTGAAAATTAAAATATCATAGAAAAACTAGGTACCCATGTAGCCTTGGGTAATACATTTTTACGTTTAAATTGGATAATAAGTTAATTCTCTCTATGATCGAAAATAATATAGAGTTCAATGAATTCTCTGAACGTAACATTATTTTCTATTCTATATACGTTAGTAAGGCGAATAAGACAACACGCGCGGGTCTAATAGATACACGATCCACGGTGGATAAACGAAAACTTTCAAGGTCATTGATCGATTTCTCTCATCACCAAAATATTGTCAGTGTATAACTTCTAGCTAGAATTTTAACCAACTACTTTGGAACTGCTGCAACACTGCAACACTGCAACAGGTACCTGTTGTACATATTTTTTAATTGTTTTATTTTTGTATTATCCTTCTTACGTATACGTCTCAGTGTTATATATTGTTATTACTATTTATTATTATTATTATTATTAATAATAATACGAAGTACGCCGAGACCTGACGCAGAGAAAGTTTATAAACGGGGATGTTATAAGGACAATTAGTACTTATACCGCACGGAGTGTTCAGTAGCAGTAGGATCGACTGAGATCCGGTATCTGCTTACGTCAATATTATATATTATACAGGGTACAATTATTAATTCGAGATTTAATTACGATGTTTAATGCTTGAATAAAAATATATATAATTATACACGTACCTATACATATTATAGTTTATTTATATATATATAAATCTAAGTGGGCTGTAAATTTTGAAACGCCGCTAATAAAACATATTATTATTGTACAGCTATGCGACATATTAATGATGCAGTGTGTAAATAAAATATAATTTGTAGAACGAAGATGAGATAACATTTTGAATTCATACAAGTTAAGACAAAGTAAAAACGGTTTTTATGTCGGTTGATGATTTATTGTTTTGACCATAAAACATGACGTGTATTTCGATTAGATATCGGTAAACTATGTAAATCGTATTTTATTTCATCGCAACACATTTTTGTTTTTAAAAAGGCACAAAATATGCTGCGGTTGAGATCGCGCGTCGGCCACTAGTCTTCCTCCTCGCATCTTGGCGCCAGAATACCGTGTAACAATTATTATTATACGTTTGAAAGTAACAATTAACAATAAGTCATGGCATTAAAAAAAAAAGAAGATTTTTATCGGAGCTCGTGGCCAGTATATATAGTATGCAGTGTATGTACAATGTATACAGTATACAAAGTAGGTATGTATATGACATATACGTTACATATAATATAGTATACAGCGTCCAGCCATGATTTCTTTGATATATTTGTTGACTGCTATCTGTTTATTTTTTCCCAAGACGTAATAAAAGTAAACGACATCTTTGAACTATACCTGCAGCTGTAATTGAAGATTTTCCGCTGACCAATGCAGTGTAAGTAACAGGAAAAATTAATTAAAATTGGAAAACCCTACAGATTTAGTCCAAGCGATGTTTAAATTTTCAGGAGGTTAGGAAAAAATCGTTCAGTATCTATTCGGTTCATCGTTAAATATTTACTTTTATCCAAATACCTTTAAATATTGTCGTAAGATTAGTGTCATCATATTATGATGTACATAGGTAGTTATGTTATCATTGATTCACTTACTGTTGAGTTATTATAGTTATTAGTTACTATCATCAATATTTGTCGTGGCTAAATTTTCCTCTTGTGTTTATATTAACTCTGCAACTCAACTGCAATAATTGCAGCTGCAGTGCGCCTGTGACGGTTATTATAAATTTGCTTACGCAGAATGCTGATAGCAGAAAAGTAAAACCTTAACATTCCTACAATCCTACTCAGTTCCTTTGATCGGGACCTAAAACTGTAATAACAAAAATGTAAATTAATTTTATATTTCAAACAAATCGCTGTACAGATATGACTGTCGGCCCACTCAATCTAGTTGTATATAATATTGTTATTATTAATCCGGGTAAAAGTATTTATTATTTTTTTTTTTTTTTTAGGAACACTCATTAAAAAAGTGTTCCCGACTACGCGATAAAAATATCATTATATACATCGCAAATTACAGTTATTATTATTACTATACTACACACACGCATATGATATTACGTCAACACTACAATCATATTGGCGATACGCGCATGGTATATTATTCAATGTTGCTTATAATTCTCTATATATAGGTATAGGTACTCGTTGCGAACGCCAGCCATTATCGCTCGTCGGTCAACAATAATTTCAACAACGATACAGCAACCAGCAGGTAAACTTTTTTCCAATATTTTTCGTGCCAAAATAAACGATTTATAATAATGTCGTTACGATGATTAAAAAAAAAAAAAAAACGACTTTGCACCGAGCAATCGAATAATAACATATCGCGCCCAATATAGCGCTCGACACGATCACTGCAGACAATATAACATTATGTAATTAAATATCCAAATACGGATTTTCACAATACCTTTCGCGCGTCATCATGTGATACGATTTTTTCATCATCCCCGTACCCCGCATTACACTCCTACTCGTGGGCGCACCCGTCGAGACTAGTCTAGGTATATATAACATGAAATATATAATAATCACCGAAGGGGCTTTTTTCACGTCTGTTTTTAATTTTGTTCGTTCGTAGTCTGTATTTTTTGGGAACGGTTAGTAGTCACTAATTATATATGTTTTAGGTGTGTGTGTGTGTGTGTGTGTGTGCGTGAGTGTGTGAGTATTAATGTGTACATGTATAGTATAATCGTCTGGTGAATAAAGACATAATTTGTCCGGCACGCACGCGATGCTATGCGCCGACTGCGGTTGTCGCGCAATTAATTGCGCTGTTCTCATCTGTCTCGCGCCTTGATATCGCAAAGAATTCCGTCTGAAAGAAGCGCCACCGTCATCGCGCACTATAGTCTTGTGACCGAGGCAGAGCAATGTTTGTGCGTGCGCGTGTGTGTGTGTGTGTGTGTGTGTCTGCAGGGCACTTCGTCGTTTTTGACCCTGCAAATAAATTGTGTTCTTCAAATTCGGACTCAAAGTTATGAATGGCCAAAAGTCTTCACCCGAAAAAAAAATTGTGGTTAAGTGTCGATTCTTAACCTAAAAGTTCCTTAACCTCCAAATTTCTTTACAAGTATAACAATAATGAGAAATAAATAGACTCGTACATTTTTTTAGACGAACTTGGGACGTTCGATGACATCTCTATAGTATTGTGAATTTTAGCGTAAAGTAAATTATTTGTGGGGAGGATCGCGACAAGACATCCTGTATTTTATGTATAGTAAATTATTACCAATGTACAAGGGGGGAAAGTCGAACTGGTCGGCGGACGGATTCGACTGAGAACAAAAAAAAGAGAAAAAACCAGTCGCCACACATTGCCCCGACTTCTGAGAACGTATATATTATTATATTATTGAGTATAGTTCTACGGCATTATTATTATTGCCTACCATTTGCGAGCGTTGCATACAAATGGAGTTTATTCATCCGGTCGGCTGATGGTCGCATCGATCACAGGCCGCGTGTGTGTGAAGACTTGAACGCACGCGGCGATAAACATACCCCGGCAAAGACGAGAAGCGACGACGTGACGGGTGACCACTCGAAAAACTTACCTAATTATCAATATCCACGAAGCCTTATTAATTCAAAAACAATACTTATTTCATATTTACATCATACTATATACATAATTACCAATTTAGTATTTACCACTATACCAACATTTAAATATGTTTTTATAATTTATTATTTGGGGTGGAAATATCCCATTTTTGGAGGCGAGATAATGTCCGAGTGTCGTGGATAAAAGTTGTAGGAAGAGAGGTACGTAAAAAATATTTTTTAATGCTCCTTGAAAGATACATACATATTAGACGTTCATATACATATATATATACATATAATATGAGTGTTCGACTTAATGTCTTCGAGTGTTTAATGATGAGTGTCTTAAACGCTTAAGTTAAATCAATATATATGTGTATATATATAAAGGTCCTCCTTCCCAATTGGGAATTTTCGGTAGAATTTAAAGAACCTACAGTTTCAATGTTGTCGAATCATTTAATATTCGATGTTATGCATATTGAAACGACGAAACAATAAATGTAAATGCTTGAGCTTTTAACTTTTAAGTAAAAAATTATAATATTCCTGATTTAACAATGTATTCATAAGTACATATATACAAAAAACTACGCTTAATAAGCACTCAAACTTTGATATTATAATAATATATGTCCAATTGAATTTTTATGTTACAAGTTACAACAATACCAAAATGTATCATGGTATTGTATAACATTATTGTTCCATTCGATAAAGGTATCTAGCTAAACCAATACTTTTTCAAGAATAAAAATAACATAAAAATATATTTTATATTTAAATAACGGTAATTCTCAAATAAAATGTAACTATGTTTAATAATATTCATTCACTAAATCAATATGAACCACATTATACTATTATATTCATAATTTACGTTATTTACGTCTCTATTTTTTTTTATTATTTAATTGATTTGTAAAATTAACTAACATTACTTAAAACCAAAAATAAATTTCTGAACTATTATAAACATGTAAATTGCAATTCATAAATTCATGTAACATCAAAATTAAATTGATAACAATGTGCATATATTATTTTAGTATTAAATCAAATCAATTTCAAATGTGCGGTACTCTATTGAATGCACTTTTCATTACCTTTGTACACAGTTTATTTGATCAATATTAGTTTATATAAAATACTATGCTTATATTATTACAACATGCTATCAATATACCAAAACATAAAATAATTTGCCTATACGAATATTGTTCAGGGCGCTCGGCCTTCGTTTATTGAAGCAATATTTCGATTTCTTGCACTTTTTATTTTTTCCAGAAGATAAAATGATTCTTACCAAGGTCTTAGATAACAATCCTTACTGATAATGTTCGTGCATTATACATAAGTATCCTGAAGTATTTCAAGCACTTTTTTTGTATTGTGCAGTCAAAATAGTTTCAAAACTAAAATATAAAATAAAACGTCACAATATTATATAATTTCAATGTGTTAACCTATTGAGAAGCTTATTAGAGTTTCATATATCGTTTTTATTTGATATTATTAAGGGTTTACAGCTTTTTATTTGCTAACTGTATGCAAAGTACCTAATTATATAAAATAAAATTGCATTATTCGTAATACACGCCCCCGTCACATTCTATCGAATATAACAACATTGAAACATAAATCACGGAGAACACTTGAAAAATATAATTGATTATATAATAATTTTAATATTATCATTGTACGATCTGCAGCATTGTAAGGAGTGCTGATATAGGCAATAGGCACACTATTCACTATTGTCACATCAGTCGGCTTTCTAATGCGTATACCTGTTACAATATTCAGCAGTCTGTAGAGCGGGGTGCCTAGTCCACCTCACCGCCACTCTTATTAGGTTTAGATTTTTTTAATTAGACGAACATCAAAATTGCGTATTGCCTATTTAAAACTCCTTACAATGCTGCAGGTCGTACGATGATAATATTAAAATTATTATATAATCAATTATATTTTTCAAGTGTTCTCCGTGATTAATGTTTCAATGTTGTTATATTCGTTAGAATGTGTCGGGTACGTGTATTATGAATAATGCAATTTTATTTTATTTTATTAGGTGCTTTGCATACAGTTAGAAAATAAAAAACAATTTAGGCAATTTTAATGTTCGTTTTATTAAATAATCTAAATCTAAGAAGAGTGACAGTGTGTAAGTAGACTAGGCACCTCCGCTCTACTGACTACTGGATATTGTAATAGGTATACGCATTCGAAATCCGACTGATGTGACAATAGTGAATAGTGTGCTTATTCACTATTGTCATATCATTGTCTTATTATATCAGCGCGACATTACGTAAACGGTTTTTACATTTATTCGCGAAAACGCTATGTTTTCACTTACATATGTACCTACTCTACATAACATTATTATAAATTATATTAATATAATGATGTTATCGAGTGACTTCGTGAGTCAGTGTCATCAAACAAAACTAACATAATAGATAATAATAAGTAGGTATATTATATTGGTACAATGATACATGTACAATGTATCACAATACACCTGCCAGAGAGTCAGAAGCAGCGTGGAGGGATTTCCTAAGGCGCCAATCGCCAATGGACGTCAAAACGTATATTTAAAATGTTATTTTTGAATAACATTGAAAATCTAAAAGAATATTTTTAAATGATGTTCAATAACATAATTTCTATAGTTAGTAGTAAGAAAATACTGTATTTATTATGAAAGAAAATATGTAAAATAATTTACTTTTATTTTGATTTGCATCGAGACCACAAATTTTAGTAATCTTTTAAAAAATATATTATACTTTTTCATTATTATAATACAACATAGAATATATTTTATATATTATAAATATTTTGCAATAAATAGTAGATTAGGTATAAGTATATGAAAAGGCGCTCACATTACGGTTGGCCTAGAGCATAAGGTCATTTGAGGGAGGTGGTCAAAATTAAACTAGATTCCAAAACCTATTACTTTGTACGATTAATTATTATACCGGACGCCTGGCCCCGACTGCTGTGACTGTTCACATTTTAGCACATGCTAAGGTTAGATTCTATTATTTTATTATTTTTCACAAGCCTATCGATGTCGTCGTCGCTGAGTTGCATCGATTCGACACTGCAGCACGTGCGTCAAGTGCAGCATTCTTTTGTCAACGTTATAAAAAACATACTAAACTAACGTAGCAAAAGCACTACACAGCCTCAGCTGGACACTTACCTACCACGGTTTATTATGGTAACATGTGTTATTATTACGTATTGTACCTACCGTACGGCAGGTGCATATAATTATAATAGAATCTTGAAAATGCATATTACGACAACATTTGTTTTGTTTCCCTTCTTTCGATGAAATAACATGAACAATTTTCCCTCGCCTTGGCTATATAACGACGACGATGCGGTACAACAGAACATTGTGGTGTCCACGTAAATACATTATTGTCGTTTATTGAATATACTCGTGCGGCGACGACCTGTTCCGTTTTCGCGCATTTCGTTCGATCGTCGAAACTATCGTTGGTACGCGGAAATACGGAATTACATTATATGTACCGCGCAGACCGCAAAACCTACCTGTTCGATTCCGTCCGCGTGGTTGCCAAACAGTTCGCGACTTACGACCAGTTTTATTAACTCGTTGATAAATTATTTCGCGTTCTTATAATAATATTATACCGTTCCGTTTTTCGTTTTTACGATCTGCCAAACACATTAGCACGCTATTCTATATTATAATATAATATATTATATATGATCTTCACTGCAGTACAATTTTCATCGTTTCATGGTCATGTAGTAAGTACAGCAAGTTTATGTTTATTCAAATACTGTCGGTTTGTACGTTTATACAATTATAACACGTCATCTGTCGGTGGTACACTCATTTCTGTATCATAACATAATAACCGTAAACATAACCCGTTATTTCGAACAGAGCGCCACGGTCATGTTTTCCTAAAATATTGTTGTGTACGGAAATATCACTATTTGATAGTGTCCAACTCCAAAGTGAGCACCTCTTATTGGTCGTATTATAATTGATCTCGACGGTTGTACTTTGAATGTCTATCTATTCGACAACTGAACGAGACGTCGCCGCCGAGCAATCGATGCAGGCATCTGTCGCCGAGACTGCATCATACTTTTTAAGTAAAAAACAATGTTTTGAATATACCTGAGTGCACTGCGGTCCGTGAAATGTCGAATTAATTACTATAGTACGATATAATACAAATATAATAATATACAGAGTGCGTGTATTCGTTTCACTTGTTATGGTTTTAATCTCTTCAATCGATCATTCCGATGACTATTTTTGTTTACGTGGGTAAATATTGAATTTAAAAAATAATAATACATAGCTGTAGATTACAGGAAAACAAAATATATTTAGATAGGTACATGGCGTAGTTCGGTATTTCTCTATTCTAACGATGAATCTATACAGTATCGAACTTATATCACAGAAATATATGATAAATCCACTCAAATTTTAGATAATATACCCACAATATAATACGATTCCGTTATTCCAATATAATATATTATGACTTATTGCTTAACATTACAGTATTATTGATATTAAAGTATAGGTATTGAATTCAGTGCCGTTATTATGTTTACGCAATTTAAAACAATTTAAAATGTATCTTAATTTTATTAATTAAATAACAATTCTTGGCATGATTTAAACGATTGTACATGAGTATTTATGGCTTTATAGTTAGAACGTATATCGTACGATTACATAGGTACTTGACTCTACGTACAATTATTGAAGTATTTGGAGATGCAGTTAATTGTTTTAATATGTTCGGCTAATTAATTATACATACTTATATTCGCTCAAATTAAAAACAATGAATACTGCTATGTGTGTATAATATGATATATATGTGCAATTTATTTTATTTATTTATTTCTCGAGATATCCATTACCGGTCTATAAACATTAAAAAAGTTTATTAGTGATTAATGATTATACACTCTGGAATAATTATTCAGGTAATTAGTAGCCTATCTAAAATGTCAGCAATTGTAAATTTTTAACAGATAGCTATAAACTCTTAAAAGCGTGACAGTTATTATATTATATAATATATAATTAAAGCCACTTATTGCACCTGAACTAATACAAAAGTGAATTGTTCCGATAATAGCACATACTATTTGCCAAATCACTTATACCATGTTTTTATGTATTGGTTGATTAGATTGAAAACGTATACTTCTTAAATTATACATTACTTAATTTCAGTAGGCAAAAGTACCTATAAATTCACAGCAAATTGTGTTCACTCGTTGTCTGCAGCAGAGTGAGCTGTTCCAGGTGACTGCTGGAGATGAGATAGGTACGGATATCACCGAGCAGAAGACTACCCATATATACAAGGAGCAAACCCGAGGACTTTGTTCAGTCGTGTTAAATCATAAGACCCAATAATGTATTCAATGTATTCAATTGCATTCACAGCAGTATGTTTAATCATTTGTTCGTGTCTGCGTCCGACCATTTATGCCAAGGAAATCAATCGACCGGGTAAAGTATATTGTGTGCACATCATATTAAAATTATTTATAACACATCCGATCGGTACCGCATTAACGTACTTAATCAGGTAATTTCCTAGAGTGCCAAACCTTATAAATTTAATGTTGGATTAATCTTTAATGTATACTTTATGTATCTTTTGTAAGGTACCTACTTGATAATTATTTGTAAAAATAAATGATCTGCAGTATTCATTCGTACGCGCTTATACATCTTATTTGAAATGCATATATAGGTAGTTACTATACACTCCTCTTCTTGGTAGGTAAATTAAACTGTAAGTATAATATGTCATATTAATGTACTAGTATAAATTATAATATTCTAATGTGTTTGTAATATTGTTGATGTAGGTAATATTATATTATAATAAGTGGTTTTCAGAAGCTCTGGTTTTACCATAACACAGTCATGAAATTCCGAATAATAGGTGATTTTTAAATTTAATTCACATTAAATGATACTTTCTACTTTCTATACTGTATTCTTACTTGAATACGACTTTGTTCTTTGGTCCACTCATCAACTATCAAAATATCCTTTCAACATTTACGTTATGACCAGAAATAATATAAACAACATAAACACTGAGTCACATAAAAATTAAATTACTTTTTCTTTTTAAAACGTGTACTTCAGTAGGTATTCCAGTACTTCGGGACCAAATCCCACACCCAAAAATCAATTAAAGAGAAAACATTTAAAAATATATTGAAATGTATACAGAAATAAGTATAATCATGTAGATAATAATTAATTGTTACACAAAAGACAATATTGGTGTTGGCTACGCGCACTGATGTACAGAATAATAATATATAAGGTACCTTTACTATACAGGCATATTAATATGTAAAATACATGTATAATATATGTGTTTAATGAATAATACCAGTTCCAATCGGTCGTATACGCGGTGAAAATTCGAAAGGTTAGGTTCAAAGAATTCTATGTTATAATAACACCTAATTGTGACGACCGTGACATTGAATGAGTGAGAATAAAAATGATTGTAAAGTTTTTAGCCTTTTGTCCATTATTTACAAATAAATACCATTGTATAAAATATGAATGCATGATTTTCTGTTTCAAATTTATAATACCTATACCTACACTTGCAGCATGTTAGTGTATCTACTTACAAGTCTTACGCACAGATTTCACATCGATTTACAACAATATGAACATTAAACGCGTTACCTTTCTAGCACCTGCTAGTCGACTATACACAAGATGACCTTAAATAATATATAACACAGCATTGCATCATATTATAAATAGGTAACGGCGGTTTCCGACAAAGGCTCGACAATTGAACCAAGCCCAGCGGGTTAGGTTAGGTTAGTGATTAAAAACTTTATTAACCCGTTTACAAATAGTGCCGCCGCAGCGCAGGTACGAATATAATATATGCAATATTAATATATATTTATTGTTGTTGTACTTACTGTTTTCTAAAATGTTATAATGATTCATCCGATACGCTTATATATACCTAGAAATACATTTTAATTCGATATGAGTAATTTAAACCGTAACTCGATAATCGCATATTATATGTAGGTATATATCTATAGCTATAATATCATAAATTCGTAACATAATTATTATATATGTACGTATAATATAAATACCGTGAATTGATGTATGGATCGAAGGGAATAAGTTTCTGTTTGCACTTAAGATAAAACGACTTTCTGGAATTGTTTTACGCATAAAAAAACCACGCGGTTATTAAATATGCATTCTAAACATGAAAAACATTGATATAGGTACCTTTGAAATATAATCACTGAGGAGCTAGTTTGATCATTATCCCGTTTATACGTCAAAATATAATATAATAACAATGGACATTATACTGAAAACCGTGTAGTTACTAGTTTACACGTATACGATAAATATAGAACATTAAGTGACGTCAAAATTGTGGCCAATTACTGGGCATACCTACCAGTAATCGGTATAGTGCGACAATCACCGATAAGTTTTTCGAAACAACAAAAATATTATCACCAACTCAGCGGAACTACTGTGTAAAAATAAATAAATTATTTTTTAAATATTAATTCGTGCTACGCTTTTTTTATGATACAAGGGCGTGTAGTTACCGCTTTCTCATGCCACTTCCAAATCGCATTAGGTATAATCAGAAAAAATTTTCTAAGATTTTTAAGTAAAACATTGTTTTAAATATTTTTCACCAAATTTTAGTTTGATGGTTGTTTATTCTATTTTTACATACCTGAAAAATATACTCATGAAATACACAACAATTAATAGCTAAATATTATATTTTTTGTATCTAATAAAAAAAACATATTGATCCTTCAAAGGCTCGATTTTTCGTTATCCTTCTTGCTTACACATGCTAATTTAGAGCCGTTATTAGGATGTGTGATAGCCAACACATCACCACTAACTTAAAAGTAAGTATTGATAATTTCCTTTTCATTAATGCTCGAACATCCCATCATTATTAACTTATATATTATGTGTTTACATAGGTACCTATAAATTATAACATACATTTAATTAAACATTTATTTTTATTTTTTGTAAGTTACAATATACTCGTATATGAATACTTTTACTGCAAGACTGGACGTAATACTGACGAACAAATAACAATGGTAAGAGATTTTCTCGGTCTCTAAGGGAGGGGATATTTTATGACATAAAATACAATATAATTAAGTGTAGCGTGTAGGTTAAATAGAAAATTTTATTTTCCAATGATCCCTATTTTCTGTGGATTATGGCATTTCCCCCCTCGTATTTATTTAAAAATTGATTTGAATATGAAAATATAATTTATTTTTTTACGTTTAATTGGGAATAAATCTTTATGTGCTTTTTAATGTCTATTTATTATTGTCTTTTAGATACAATAAAAATAACTGTAACTAATAATAATGAAAATAAATATACAAATAATATTTTTTTAAAAATGGACTTCAACACATTAACTAGTATTTACAACATTTACATGATAATAATTTATAATTTCATAATATTAGTCATGTGTGTAACAGTATATGCTAAATATTGATAACGATGATAAAAATTAATATAATATTATTTTATTCCAAACGTGAAACATTTAATTTCAATTTTCAATACATAGTTTAACATCAAAACATTCTCTATCTGTGTCCTTAATAAAATGAGAGCCTCCAAAATGTTGTGAAGAAACGAATGAGCCGTGAAATTGAAAACGTCTGAATAGGTACCTCTCGTATAAACAGTATTATTTATTCGATAGGTATACATATTGTTATATTATTATATTTTTTAGAAGAATACGATTGCGAGAGTACCCTTTTGGTTTACGATTGCACGCGTTAAATACGATTACACGATTTCACAATGTTGCCAAATTTAACAACAGGATAATATAAACTCTAAGACAAATGCCGTATTTATACTATTATTTTTTTTATCGTCATGATGAATTTCACACGTCTGCAGTATTCAAATTACCTACTGATATCACTACATCAGTAATAATTTAATTTATCATCATAGATTTAATAAACGAAATACGGTCTACTTTGACAGAAAAAACATTACATATGTTACAAGTTAATCATTTTAAATATCTGTTAATTAATAAAAGAAAATATACATTTTTATGGAATGGAGGTGTTCTAGAGAAATGTGTTCTGCTCAGGACAGATTCAGTCCAGTACCAGTACGCGTAATCTGGCAACAATGCAATTATTTTTGACATAAGTCTTACCCAAATTGTCCCTTTGAAACGTGCGCAATCGAATTACGAAAAGGGTAAAATGCTCGTAATCACAAAGGTGCATCAATCATAAACATTACCGATATTATTATAGTTAAAAACGACGACGACTGTTCGCTATGGGTGGCCGAAAAAAACCAGTCCAAAATGCCCATACCGTTCACGAGCAACGGCAAACAGTACGCGATCATCTATCCGGATGAAAAGGGCAGGCTGCACGCGGAGAAAGGGCGCAGTTTCAAGCTGTCGTGCGCCACTGCCAAGTTCGCGTCGAGCGAACTGCGGCGGGACGATTCCTCCGACGCGTTGGTCACGTGCGTCGGCGGCGACGTGCTCGCGTACCGAGGCCAGACGTACCGGTACGCCGCCTTCCAGTGCGACGGCATGCCCAAGTCGGAGCTCCGCGTCACCGACGAAGTGTGCCAGCCGGCCAACTACACCGTGGCCGTGGTCGGTTTCCGGACGGATCGCGCGTTCCTCCGGCTGTACGGCATGTGCTTCGACAAGTCGACCAAGAACAGCCTGTACACTTGGTACGACGCCCGGTCGCCGTACTACGACAACCACCAGAAGTATAGCAAGCGACCGTCGTTCAACAAAACCAAAGAGCTGTACGGCAACACGGACGTGAACAAGAAATACACTTTCAAAGAACAGGTGAGAACTGCTGCAGCTGCAGGATTTCGGGACGTCCAGCTTCTTAGAATCTTAGTTGTAGCTCTTTAAAATCTGAAACAATCAACGATCGAAATCAGGCTTTTCTACGAGATACCTATGCGTGATCGTTTTCCCTGTAAATTCGTTTTTAATTGCTGAAATATAGACGTAGGTCTATATTGTACCCATTGTATATGGCCGCCGCGCTACGTTCGTGAATACAAATGTCCATAATTTTTTTCCCATTTTTAAAACATCCGGTTCCGACACCATAAAGCGATTTTCAGCCTAAAATAAACGATTACCACCGGAAAGGTAAATTATTTATCACGTAGATTATATTGTATACAATAGGTGATAAATATTTTATAATTTACTTTTAATGCGTTTCAATTGTTTTATATCACATCAATACAATTATTATAAAAACATTTTATTAGTTGGTAGGTACTTATTATTTTGATTTCTTTTATACAATTTCGATACATATTCTATTACTAGTTTTTTTAGACTTTATATGCATAAATATTTGCATAATTTGCATATGAGCTTTGAATATTACTTTAAAGTCACAAAGAATAATCCTAATCAATGCTTATTATTATTCACACAAATATTTAAAAAACATTATATTGTAACACGATACTATAATTGTAAACATTAAAACAATGTTGGCTTAGAGAAACACGGTGGCGACAATACTCAGATCGGACGAACTTGCGGATAAGTACATAAGGAATGATAATAAACACTTCCTGTCCCGGGGCCATTACGCAGCCAAAGTTGACTTTTTCTTTGCTTATGAACAAACAGCAACGTAAGTGATACATCGCAATTACTATAATAGAAGCGATTCTATAATATACTTAACCTACCCTAACCTAACCTTTTTACTTCGACGGGCCTAAATCTCAATCTTAATCTAATGATATAATTTTTTTTATAGATAGTGGATATACAATATGCATGTAGGTACATATTGGATTTATTTTCTTATCTTTTTATTATTGAAAACGTTACAAATTCAGATTAGGTAATAATTTTAATTTTTTTTTTATAAACGCTTTTATTTAAAAAATGTGTAACAGGCCACATAGAATACCTTCGAGGGTTTAACACCACTGATATTTGGCATAAAGATAAGCTTGGATAATTAGTAATTACAAAGTTACAGTCAGTGGTGCATACAAGAATTTTTATAGCATAAACAGTTAACAAAAGTACCCACTATAAGCACCCACCCTCTTTTAAAATATTATGTGTATAAACAAATTCCATAACAATTCTAGTACAACAATTTACAATATTCAGTGGTGTTCTTATTGTACCTTAGGCAAAATTAAATCATGACTCAAAGTGCCAAAAATACAAGCGTGCAAGAAGCTAAGAAAGGATTTTTCATTATGTGATTATTGAATGGATAGAGCAAAATTGCTCTAACTTAACCTCTCAATTACTCAACATTCACGAGATTAGCTGAAAAAAAAATAATGAACCCAGTCGAAAAACATAAAGTATATTATGTTAAATTATTAAAATATAAATAAAGATTATAGTAATTAGCGCTGACGTGGACTGTGGGGACGGATAGGCCCAGGACAAATTCGTATATTTAAGAACCAATTTATGAAATGACCTTAGTCTCATAAAATGTTTAAAAACAGTGAACCAATGACTGAACCCTTTCAGTTTTTTTTTCTGCAGAAATGGTGAAATTTTTTAATCAGTTAGAGACACCCAATTTCTTACCTACTTACAAACATATCGTACGCAATATATATCTAATATACATGAATTTTGAACACATTTAAAGGTTTTACTATGCGAACGTTGCCCCGCAGTGGCAGATCTTCAACGGTGACATGTGGGCCGATCTGGAATCGACTACCCGGTCAAAGTTGAGCAAGGAAAACGGCACCAGACACGTGATCGTCACCGGCACGTACGAAGTGTGCACGCTGCCCGACGTGGACGACATCCAACAACCACTGTACCTTGACCTGCCCCGTAGCATACCCGTGCCGCTGCTCTACTGGAAGCTGTACTACGATGTGGACACGGAGGACGGCATCGTGTATATCGGTCTCAACAACCCCTACAAGGAGATCGACGACAGCGTGTACATATGTCCTAACACATGTCCGGACGGTTACCATGGTCGCGGTTACCAGGGCCGCGATCCCCAAAATCATCCATCAGAGACCGAACCAGACCGCGGTCACCGGAACGACCCCGAACCGGACGCCAACGACGGGCTCATCTACTGCTGTACCAAAGAGTCATTCGAAGATGCTTACGGCAAGCTGGACCCAATCGTATACCGACAGCTCATGTGAACACAAAAAAAAACATTAAATCCTAACTACAGCACCACGTGCTATATAGTTACTTACCTATAGGTAGCTACATTTTCCATTGGTTATGATGAACGACGTAATCCCAGATTCCTAGCTACATTCATTATCCGTTGGCACATTTAGAATGCGTTACATCATAAATAGGTAGTTACCATTCGGTACCTAATAAATAATAATGGCAATTATATTGCATACTTATAAATAATAAATTAATAAAATATATATTATATTATATACCTATATGTATTTGTATTTTGTATTATTAAAAATGATTGTGCGTTTATTAGAATCCGCATGGAAAAAAAATTACTAAAATATTAAAATATAATTATTTTCTAGGTAAAATAACAAAAATGGTTTAATTATTATGACTTCATAAATATAACTGTTTGTTACGGTAAACTATATTTTATGGTTACTGCAATTTCTTATGTTTGAATTAACTTTAACTAAAAAATATAGTTAAAACTTTTACTAATATTAATAGAAAAATTAATATAAAATTGAGTACCTATAAACTATAAAATACTAATATTAATAGTTAAAAGGACTACAACTAAGTATAATATATTAATATATATTATGTTTTATGTTATGATATTATTCAGGAAAAAGCGATTTTCCTATATTATAAAATTCAAAATTCAATTAATATAAACCCGTTAAAAAGTAAAAACTGTTAAGTCGTTGAATGGTCTGTATTCGGCATTTAAGTGGTCTGAAGAGTGTGGTACAGTTTTGACAATTCAAACGAACTAATTTAACGGATTAGAGGTATTACCTATAATACTTATTAATCTTCAAATCTTCGAAAATTTTTTTTGTAAACGTAGATTTAGCTAACGCTTTTTTGGATTTGACACGAGTAAATGCTACGAAAGTTTTTAAGAACTATTCGATACTATAATATGCACGTATGTGTTATGCAGAATATGAAAGTACTACGAATTTAAATTTCACAAAGTACAGCAGTTCAGAAACTGGCAAGCATGCACACCGCGTTATAGGTTAAGTACCTACTTAGAATTTTAACTATTGCAACTAACAAATTAACTATATACCCATTACCTACATAAAGTTACATTTTACATAAATATATTTTCTGTACCTTAACAAAGTAAAGTATTTATTAGCAAAGAAAAGTTCTTTATGTACACCACACCATCCCCGAAACGACGAGAGTACGAATATTTATATTGCGCGTACAACTACGTGCAAATAGAGCGCAAATGATTGGTAAAAAGAAAATTTCAAATTACCACCGTTAGTGGCCGGTAAGACGTCGACCCCCCCACCCCACCACTTAAGAGGGTTTTTTTGATGAATCTGAGCCCTTTCGGTCATACAAATTCATACAAACAACGTACTAAAGGGTAATAAATTGCAATAATTTGAAAATGATGGGAGGGGGGCACTGGTGCGACTGACGTAAGTTCTTACCTTACACATTAGAGTTCAAAATGATTTGGCAACAGTAGATAGCGCTGCTGTAATCGAATTAATTTAAATCTAAATACCTAATAATGCCGACTACGTATCGGTGTAGGTTAGATTAAAAACGTCACTAAATCCACTATTGGTAGTAAGTAGTAACGTAATGCAAATTACAAATTACTTTTGCAGCAACGCTGTAGTAATTTTATTATACTTTATTTAAATTAACACAATTGTATCAAAATTACTTTTTAAAATAAATAGTGTAATTTTTAGTGAAAGTCAAGTTTTAGGTGCAAGGTTCATCAGCAAGCTATAAAATAATAATTACAGTAGTATTTAGTACTTGAACTAGACTTAAATATAAATATCTAATAATATTCAATATTGTCCAATATTCTGAACACAAATACCTAATGACTAATGAGTAAAGGAAAAAATCACAATATTGCATTACCTATAGGTGTAAGCAATTACTAAGTGTTGTTTTTTAAAATTCAAAAATGAAATAACTTAAAATATTGTAAAAAAGTTAATAATACTTAGAAGTACTCATACTTGAAATGTACAACTAATAATAATTTATATCTCCTTTATAGAACCTAACAAAAACTTGAAAAAAAAATGATTACACAATATACTACAAGTCTTACTATGGAAAATGTTTTTACAGATTTTCATTAAATATTAAACAATATAAATTTATAAGCTATTTAATATTCCTTTAACAATGTTTTAAAATATTCGAGTCGACAAAAACGATCTTAAGTCAGACAAAATAATTTCTTAAATCATATATAATAATATTATCAATGAACAAAAAAAAAAGCCATCCATAAATGGAAAAGTCATTAAATAGTAAATAATTCATAGTACATAGGATGTAGGTACTCAAATATTTTTTTGAGTTCATGTTATTTTCATAGAATCTCAATTTTTGCAGTTTGTATCAAGATTATGACAAATAAAGAAAGCTATTACAGCTCCATCAACTGTGATGCACAGCACTCTAGATATGATTCAACAAGATTTCACAGAAAGAGTCGATGTTTACGTAAGTTAATATTCATATTCATTTGGGATATACATACTTTATAGTCTTAAAAAAATTAATTATTGCCCTAACAAATTGTTAACTGGGGGACGTAGATGAATTTAGTAAATATTTCATTAAGTTTGATAAATAGTGTGTATATAATAAAGACAGGTGAAATACTGTCAATCGAAATTGAACAATTATTCTTATTTGTGTTAATATTTTATGTACATAAATGTTAGTGCCATCAAACTCATTAATTATTTGTGGAAGCCGAAACAAATATGTTCAGACTGTTCAGAGGTAGGTACACCATCTAACATTGTTGGTTAATCATTATCCTAAGTATAAAAATATATTCTACAAACATACAAATACAAGAAAAATAGTGTAGGGACGTACGGTACCTACAGCGTGCAGTGTATGATTACGTTAGAAAAAGGAGAAAACTTAATTTGATTCATAATTTTATCAAATAACGACATTTTAAATCAAATGAACTTTCTTGTTCACTCAAGTTTTTATGTTGAATTAAGATTAAAAATTAACAAAAACAAAAACAATTCAAGTATTTAATATCTGAATTGAATAAAAAGCCTCGATAAATTAAAATTCTAAATTATTAAAAACAAAGAATGTGAACTCAAAAATGTAGGTAAGTGAAAAATCAAAATCCTATTTTATCTTTTTTTAATTTAATTTTCATTAACTTTATTTAAGTCTTCACTGATTTTTATCAATATTAAATTATAAATTGAAGAGTAACATTCTGAAAATATTCACTGTTAGAATTCATGTAGTTTTTTTTCAGTTTCTTATGTTTGAAACACTTCAACTTGTGCATCTAATTTTCAAGTTCTCCAATAGATTGTATATTCGAAAAAATTCTTTGGAATTACGTTCTGACAAAGTGGTCGGCTATACTGGTACTACGAAATCAGCTCGTAAATGGTTAAGTTCCAGTGACTTCTGAGTTCCACATTTCGAGCATCAGGACACCGCATATTTTTTTTGTTTTTTAAGTTCTGCCTGTTGAAACAAAAAATATTGTATTATATCAAGAATGTATGATCCAAAACTGAATTTTAAGTTAAGAAAGTAATTTGCAAGGGTAAAAATATTATTAAAACTGAAACAAAAAAATTTAAAAAAAGTGTATGACAAAAATTCCAAAATGGATTCATTTTTAAGATGTAACATCATAGCTCCGTCTGAATTTCGGTTAGGTCAATTAAAAAAAAGTGCAAGACAATACAAAGAAACAGAAAAGTTATTTGTGCTGGGTCTATATTACCACTCGCAGTAGGGTATAAATTTGTGAGATCATGTCTTTATGTACCTTCTGTTAGATCACTGAGGAAATGGTTGGAATGCTTATATGTATGCGGTATAAATGAAATCTTTCTGGGTATCTTAAGTTTAAATGTTAAAACTGCTCTAAAATAAAGATGAAATATTGAAACATTTGAAACTAATGCAGTAATAACTAGTAAGTATAAACCTTTTTTTTTATATTTATTTATTTATATGTGAGGTGATAATGTAATTTAGTTTTATAAAATAGTAATTTTTTGTACATCAACTGTCAAAAGTAGCTGAAGTTAATTTCTATTTATGAGAAGAATACAAATATTTTCAAAAAATTAAAACCAATAACGTTTCTATACTTGGTTTAAAAAAAATGTAACAAAACCAAAACTTTATGGTAGCATATATTTTATCAATAACAGCTACTGACTGTAATGTAAATTTATGTTGATAAGTAATAATTATCGACATAGTTAAAATTTCTATAAATATTATTAATATTACTTGTTTGAAACAGAATAAAATAATTTATGTATACATTTTTACATGTGTGTGTGTGTGTGTGACTGTAAGGTGGTGGCCAGTGGGGTGTTAAAATGTACACCCTGAATATATAGTTCTGAATATTGTACTTTATAGTGAATCATCCAATTGAACAAGTTTGTTAATAAACGACACATCTTTATTGAGTAGTCCATGTTAGTCAGTTATTCTAGGTTATCTAGAAGCTCTCTTTTGCAGACTCTAACCAAAAACCAAAAATCACATAAAAATCATTAACATAAGCATACATCTTATTTATATAAATGTACAATTATCATCACCAATGTAGTATTATTTATTCATTAATTATGGTAACACTTTAAAAAGCAAACCAATACAATTATAGAAAATACTATACATTTTAAAATATAGTTAAACATGTGGAACTAAAAACCTAGGTAAGAGTGTACAATGTAGTATTTTAAAATACATTTCACTTTAGATTATATATTACATAATTTATTGGTTTTTGAAATGGTTATACTATCGAGGTGAAAATGAAACATAGGGAAAAAGTAAAGAAATAGTAGCAGAATAGTTAATTAGATAGCAATAAATAATAAACTCCATTATTTAAAATAAAATCTACAGAATACGTGGGTAGTAGGTTTTAGCCAATAACATATAAAATGTATGACTTACAAAAAAACAAAGCCAAAAAAATTCAAAAAAATTTAAAATAATGAATACAAAAAATAAAAAATATAAGAAAAATGTACAAGAATAATTAAATAAATTCATAAATTCAATTACTAATTTTCTCGCAATACATTTATTTATTAAACTAAATATTAAAAGTAACAATATCGGGTTGGTTTTGTTAATGATACATTTAGTTTGTTACGCCTGGATCAAAGAGAGAAAACAGAGAGTGCTCTGATATCCTACCGACCTTTTTATTCTATCCCATAAGTCAAGTTGTAAACCCATCAACTTGGTAGTTTCAACCAAAGGGTCGAGTGGCCTGAGTACTGAAATTATACTTTAGACTTTGACTTAACTTTTAGTTAGCTAAACATGTAAACAACCAATAAATAAAATATTTTTACATTTTAGCTATTGGTAAGTTTAAAAGGACCAGTGCTTAGATTTTTTTACTTAGCTGTATTGGATTATCTATCAAATGCATTCACTTTAACACCATTATGAAACAGCATACATTTGTATGCCATAGATACATTATATTCTTTCTAATGATATTTCAGAAAAATCTTCAGCTTAACACTTGGCAATTTTAATGTTCTGAAATAATCAAAGAATATTTTACTGTTTTTATTCGTACAAATATTATCAATAATTTTACTCGGAAGTCCTCTTCTAAAACTAAATCCGAAAGATTGTTGATCATTTTGATGTGAATGTGATGAGATTGAGGCAGAATAAACTTGGATGAAAAACCAAGACAAAAAAAAATTATCAAAACAAACAAAAATTTCTAAATTAGTAGTAACATTTTGCGATTTCTACAATATACAAAATAAAGTACTCACTAAAATCAGTATAACACTTTTTGTAAGACCTCAAACGCTGAACTTTTTACGTTGCAATGAAATACCGAGATTAGACAACATTTTACTAAAATAAAAAAACACCAAGACGTGCAAACTATAAAACTCGAGTACAAGATAAATACAATTTAAATAGTAATATTGTGTGTAGAATTTTGTTTTGTGAAAAAAAATACAAGAATCGAAGAATAATTAAAAAACAGGATAATATGTAAATATAGCATATGGATATTAACGAGCGTAAATGTAAAACAGTCTCCACGTTATCACTTATCACTCTTTATTATGGTCACGTGGTTTTGCAAGTACATTTTTAGCGGCCAAGTTTATAGATGACTAGATGAGGTTTATAGACTAATCATTCGTCTTTCGATTTGGACAATTTAAGGGAGGATTTGATAATATTTATTCTACCAAACCCTCGAAACTCCCGGGGTGCATGTAAGCATTCCTTACATAGTTACATTAGGTGGGCACTAGTAAAATACGACTGGTTTATGTGAAAATACCGTTAATTTGATTAAATAATCAAAATCAATAATATTATTATCATAATAAATATTACATTAACAATCAAAGTTATTTATTTCGTGTCAATTAGTTGAATGACAAAAACAAAAACAATTTTAAAGTTAAATGCTCATGTTATAATATATATTATAATATGTACATGCTTGTACATGTATATAAATGTATAAGATAACTAAGAAGGTAGTTAACTAAAGCGAGTACTTAATAAACATAAATAATAAATAATACCTATATGAATAAAAACTTAAACGTAGATACAGTAAAATCCGCTCATGACGATTTTCAAGGGACCTATAGAGAATCAGATCGTTATATCCGAATTTTGGTGTAACCGGAAGACAAAAGAAAGATTTTTAATTGTTTGAAAAATCGATTTATAAAAACAAAATGTTGCGCCGAAGCCCCTATTACGAAAATGCAACAATCCTACAAGAGCGAATACGGAATAAGGTCCCGAAGCGTTGCGTCGTTTATTGTCTTCATCAAGTAGAAACAAACGTCTAAATATTCTGCAATGCCAAAGCATTTCTATTGATCCAAAAAAAGTAGCACAATCAACAAAATAAGAAACTGAATAAAGCAGTAAGAAAATGTATTCAGAAAGTATTACAGATACTAATACTATATTGTGAGTGGTTTGGGAAACAAAGAAACTGGTCCTGTAAAGCTGATTTTAGATGTAAGTTATAATAATTTACAAACATTATATTAATTAAGACCTAGTCCATAATATTTGTAATTATAAAATATATAGGTATTTAATAGGTACCAAAGTAAAATATTTTAAGTTACTGTACTGCTTTTTTTACATTACCTACCTATACAAAATGTTTTTTTTTAAAACACCAAATTACGAACTAAAACGTATTATTTTGTATGTAGGTTTTTCTATAATTTAATGTAATAATAGAATAACTTTTAAATTTATATAAGTTACTTATATATTATTTTTACAAATTATTTATGATTATCTAGACTTATCCTATGACAGTAGCTGGAAAAGATCTTTTAGAGCAAAATATTTAAAAGAATATTCTTGGCTTGAGTACAGCTTAGAAAAAAATGCTGCATTTTGTTTTTGCTGTCGACATTTTGGTTGTGGTGATGTTGATAAAATATTTATGAAAACTGGCTTTACAAATTGGAAAAATGTATTTAACAAATTAAATTTGATTAGTATATTAGAATATTATAGTTCTAAAAATATATGACCCATTCACCCTTCAGAACTTTTTACCGGACTTAGTTTTATTTAATCTGTGGTAGTACCACACGTCCACACATGACCGTTCAGCAATGTTTTACTGTAGCGTTTCCCAAACTCTTGTTTGGGCTGGCCCGGTAATTTATATTTTTCACCTTCGTGACCCACCAAAATATTTTACATTTATCATTGTGTAATAAAAGGCAAAATAAAACACATTTGAATTGTCTCTCCCGTCTCTTTGACTTCATCTTCATACTTAATAGTTTAAATTATCAAATGAAAATGATGAATTTTATCTATTTGAGAAACAATGCTGTAGATAATATGTGTAAAAGGCGAGGCAAATTTAAATTTATGTGTACCATAATTTAATTGCAGTATTAATTAGTTTTTAAATTATCAACAATTCTTATTTTTAATATCATAATTAATTTTATTTTGCAAACACAAGTACGTAGTTACAGGTGATTTTTTGAAGACTAGCCTACAACTTTTAGGAAATTATTTTTCATACCATTAGCCATATGCCCATATTTAGTTATTTATGGACTGTGACACACCACATATGCATTTCAAATTCAGAGTTTCTGATCCAATATAAAAGTATGATCTAAAATATAAGTAATATAACCAATTAATTCTTATAATAACGTAGGTATAGATTTCCACAATCCATATGGATATTTACCTTGTATATGCACCCATAAATTTGGCAAAGTTGCTTAGAAGTACAAATAATATATAGTCCAACTCTGATCCACGTCTAGCCAGTGAGTATTTACTATTTACTTAATATGTATTACCAAATATAGATACTGTACACAACAAAAAATATAATATTTATAAATTGTACATTATAATAAATTAGTAGAATATGAGTTTATTTTATACAAAAATAAAATATCATATTCATACAATTGATAGGTTATGTTTACTATATAGGTATAGTTTCGTGCTTTCAATGTAATGTTCTCAAACCTTAATTCATAAAAGTAAATTTATTTTCTTTATCGTTGTACGTTGTTTGGTGACTTTATAATATTTACTTCGCTATTAGTTGCTCTAAATGGAAACTAAAAGAATTAAAGGAAGGGTGGTTAGGTTAGGTTAGTCTTTCTTAAAACCAGAGAGATAAAAAGAAATATCTTAGAAATATTTAGTTAGGTTAATTCAAATATCGCTCAATGTTTTCCATCCATTGTGACTCAGTTATCCAGTAATAGAAAATAAGTAATACATTAAACCTACCCTGATCTAAGATAAATTATCAAACACTTGAATCTTAAGTTTTTTCCTAAGAAAACTGAAGGAGGGTAGAGGATGCAACCGTCACTTATCAAAACTTTTGTACCTATATTTAAGTTTTTACATTTGGTGTGTGATGACAAAATTTCCAAGGACCGGTCAAAACTCAAAATATAAATTTCCTGGGCCCAATAGTTGTCTCAGCCCACCCCTGTCTATGGACTTAGGTACTAAGTAACAACCTGCTATACCTGTCTAACCCAATTTATTAAAAAATATGTTATTTTTTCTTTCGTTGTTAAGTTGTTATAAGATCTTATGATTAAATAATGATACCTTGTTACATAATAGGTTATTAAATTTTAAATTAATGTTTTTTACATTTCAAACTTTTCCTTCTTCACCCGACCCAATGTACTTTAAAGTTAAAACTTAGGATTTAAACATTTTAAATCATTATATTTGAGTAAAAATATATATGATAAATAAAACACTATATTTTATTTCTTATAAACAGAATATAACAATTATTGGCTAAATTTCAATAGATTTGTAACCATTAGTTAAATACAATTTAAAAAAAAAAAATGATAGAATTAATAATTACTAGATGATTAAGTACTGAATTTTCTTAAAAATATATCTCCTACTACTTATTTTAATTAGTTATTGATAATTCTACATTCAACATTTATAGGCATAAATATGAAGATTATATTGGTTACTGGTTATAATATTTAGCCTTGAATGTGTAATCTAGGTTTGGTGATTTCCTATCAAGACTAATTTATTGAAAGACTTAATAATATATAATATTTCCATTATTATATTTAATTTTAACCATGACTGTAGTTGCTTTGTATCAGCTGTATAATTTTTGAACACATTTTACGGGTTTGATGAAGGTTGGCCTTTAAACCAATTTTTTAACTTCATTAAATGACATACCTATATGTTAGGGTAATGTGGAATACCGGGCAATGTATTCATTGAGCGGTCAATGTGGTTCTGCCCAAAAAATGTAAACCACAAATTTTTTTTTAACCAACTAATATTATTTTTTATTATTATTACCCATTTATAGTATTGATTTTTTTTTCAGAACAATCATTATTAATTTTTTTATGTATCATAATACAATAAACTATGAATTTTTTGAAACACTGCGTATAAATTTATTTTTGTTACTTATCGTACTGCCTATTTAAAAACCAAATGTAGAGAAGCAGATAGGCTATGTAATTCCAAGTGCCGTGCTCCTAAATCTTGTTCAAATAAATTGGTGATGAAAAAATTATAATTTATTATAAAAATAATATGATGATACTTGTCAATTTTTTTTTATTCCATAAAAATATTCGTAATATTATGGTACACGAATAAAATTAATGATTGTTTTTAAAAAAAATCAATTCTATAAATAAGTAATGATTATAATTTATAATAATAAAAAATAATATTAGTTACTAAAAAAAAAAATTTGTGGTTTACATTGCCCATAACATATATATGAAGAGTTATGTGACACATTATGTAAGGTTCAAAAGTTAAATCTGTTTGACTTATTTACAAACTTGGGTACCTACCTAATACCTTTACCTTACTGCAGGGAAAATGAGAAAGAAAAAACAAGGTAATTTGCCAATAAAATATATTCAGATTGTGTACTGTGTAGATACTAATCCACTAGTTAATAGCTATTTGTGTTTAAGGACATAATAATTAAATTAAATAAATCGTAGGTATCTTGAATTTTCAAAGTAGCCAGTAGATACCTATAAAATTATACAAGAATACAGCATAAACATATAAGAATAAATTCAAAATTACTGTAAAAATTGTCTCTCCGAAAAATTGTAAAGAACAGAAGAGCTGCTTTTTATTTTTAAAAATTGAACCTCAATAATTATTCTTTCCAACTGTACAGAATGTCATATAATTATTAGGTATCATGGATTTTAAAATATATTTTATTTGCAATAGGTAACTAGGTAAGTATGCAATAGGTAACTAGGTAAGTATGCAATAGGTAACTAGGTAAGTATAGTATTGATAATAATACATAGGTAGTAACAGATTACCATAATGAATACGTTTAGGTAAATAGTGTACCATGTAAAAAAAAAAAAAAATACTTTTAGGGTAAATTTTAACATTTTTTTTTCTTTGATTATGATGTTAGATAACTAGATAATTGCCTACCGGTTGCCATTAATATTATGTATACCAATGAGTTAAGGAATTCTCCTAAAACCATAACCAATTAATACTTAATACTTTAAGTTATAACATTTAACTTTTTTAATTAAATGAAGCAATTAATTGACATATGATCGTAAGCTCTTCTTAGATCTATGAATGTAATTAAGTATTTAATAAAATGTTTGTTTTTACCTTATCATCCTATCTTACTTCCTTCTTAAGCGGCTTAAACCCAAAAAGTTGTCTAGGTAAATAATTGTGATAAGTGCCCAATTCTAAATAGAAAAAAGTTTTAAACATTAAGAAAACAATAGGGATTATATCTGAAAGTAAAATATATTGACAAATTCAGCTACTTAAATTATAGTTTTAATTAATGACATTAAGCCTCAAGGTTAAATTTTAATAGTTGATTTATAAGAACACATATTATTAGTATTTGAATGGTATATATTATGTATGTTTGATTAATAATGAATGGTGATTATGTTAAGGTCGTGTGCTTAGTTATAAATGTAGTTCTTTGTACTTTAAACCTATTTATTTGATATGACTTTCAGATTATTTTACATGTGATTCTCTATTTCAATTAGAATAAACAAATTATAAATTTTACCATGGATTTAAAATACATTCATAAGAACTTAACAAAACTAAAATGATGACCATTCAGTTTTCTTTAACTAATTAAATTATTTTATTATTAAAATATTATTGAAACTTAAAACTTAAAAGTGATTTAAATAGGTTTGTTATTTAAAAAATATATATATTTTTAATTGTACTGACATTAAGGTCGTCTAAATTTAAATCAATGAACTACATAGAGTAATATGTGAAAATACATTTTTCTTATTGCAAATTAAATACTTTTTTAATGTGTTGTTTACAAAAATATTATTTGTTATGTGTAATACACATAAATCTATTAAATTGATTATGAAATTAAAATGTGCTATACTTTAAACAGTATAGTAACAAAATAAATTAAAAATTATAAGTTTTATTGCAGAAACATTTTTGATATTAATATTCATCGTGGAATGGATAATCCTTGAAATGTTTATTCCTGAAAAAAAATAAAGGTTTACGGTTGATTCAAAGTTTAAACTATAAATATTAAAAACTAGTTATATATTTTTAAACAAATATTAACTATTAACATACCAGTTAAGATGAAGAACTCTGCCATTACAATCAAAAGTATCAATTGCATCTATATCGCCTTGTTCTAATGCAAAATCCCATATATCAAAATTTGATTCAATACGACTCTTGGTCACAGATTTTGGAATGACAATGTTGCCTCTTTGTACTTGATATTTAATCAAAACTTGAGCAGTAGTTTTGCCATATTTTTTTGCAATAGCTACAATTTTTGGGTCCTCCAAGAGTGATGGATCTTCTGGCTTAGCCCAAGGTCTGTCTGGAGATCCTAAAGGACTGTATGCAGTTACAAATATGTTATTTTGTTCGCAAAATTCTTTTAATTTTTTTTGATTCAAGTATGGATGACATTCAATCTAAATATAAACAAATATAACGTATTTATGTTATGTTTTTAATTTTATATATATTTAATAAATATTCATACTTGATTAACAACTGGCTTTATAGTAGCTATACTCAGTACGTTTTCTATTTGTTTCTTATTAAAGTTTGATATACCAATTGACTTGACAAGACCTTTTTTAACCAAGTTTTCCATTGCTTTCCATGTTTCTATATAAGAACCATTTCCTTCAAGTGTGACTCCATTAGCATCCTTTGGGAACCATTCATCTTCCAGCTTACCCTCCTAATATTATAATTAATTAATTATTAGGGATATTCAGTGGTCATTAATTATTTTTATTTAATTTTGGACATACCTTAAAAGCCATAGGCCAGTGTATTAAGTATAGGTCCAAATATTCGATTTGCAAATCAGATAAAGTTTTTTTCAATACTGTTTCGACATAATCAGGTTGATGAAAAGTGTTCCACAACTAAAAATGTAGTGTTTTTAAGTATTTTAATTCATAAAAATTAGTAAATATTCTTACTTTACTAGTAATGAATAAATCTTCACGTTTAACAACACCTTCATCAATTTTTTGCTTAATAGCTTTTCCTATTTCGCTTTCATTTTCATAAACCATAGCACAGTCAATATGTCTATATCCTGTATCTATAGCAGCTTTGACTGCTTCTTCAACTTCGCCAGGCTTTGACTGTAAATATAAAATACAATTAATTATTTATATAATATCTTTAAAAATCATTTAAGTGTTTTATTATTTAGTTGATACAACCTGACCTATCAAAATTATAGATTGACAAGTATAACGGTATGTTAGTTTTAGGTAGGTACCTATATCAGATTATAATATATAAAGGTTTAAAATGTTAATCATATAATTTATTATTTAGCAGCTACATAGGCGTCTAGACTTCTTGTGCAGGTCTTATAAGCTATATAATATGAATGTGAAACTGGATAAGTTTGTAAGTTAGTACGATCCCCCAAATTTTGAAAAAGAATATTATTATATTATCTTATTGGAGTACTGAAAATAATATCTAATAAAAATATAAAATGATTAATTGTAAACTACAAAATTTCAATAAAAAAAAATATATATATAAAATGAGAACAAATTTAATGGGTTATATAAAAAAGTAACAGCAATTATTCATATCACATTTACACGCTTCGTAAAATGTGTTGGTTATACCTCTGTATTATAGAGACGAGTCGTGGACATGCCTATGCTTACATAATTATATTTTTAATAGTATATTTGTAAAAGTAATTAAATCATTAATCTCAATTGTTTATCAGGCAATATGTTGTTTCTATTTTCGGTAACAGCAATAATATACCTATACAAGCAGGTAAATCGTAAATGTTATCATAATAAGATCAAACATGTAGGTAACTAATACTACTATTATATTAGTAAAGTGCACTTTAACTTAAGTTGCATAGTTTAAAACGTAGAAAGGCTGCAGTTTTAAACATTATAGTTTTTAGCTATACATGTTAAAATGTTAAAATAGGAACTATATCTATTACTTTATGTAGTATACAATAATTAGCTACCTACTTCCTAGTTATAGATAAAATTTAAATGTACATTTGCTAAAATATTTGAAAAATTCAAATACCTACCACTTAATTTAAAGTACCAGGTATTTACGGTTAATTTAAAATAATTAAAATTAAATCAATCAAAATTAAAATGTATTTAAATACTACCTATCCTCAATTAATTTAATATTTACCTTCCAAGTGCCAAACCCTACAATCGGATACTTCTGACCATTATTAAACGTGATGAACTGATTTTTTGATGCCATTGTATCTGAGATGTATTTACTTTTAGTTTCTATAAACAAATTTTAAAATGATTAAGTGAATCGACAACGAAAACTTAGTAAGTTGATCGTTGTAGCACAAAATAAAATATGAAGTGGCAGTAAACCGCTGTTGCACTGTACTATATAGTATACAGTATACACTATACAGTTAGTGTACTAGTGTTGACGTGTTGTGTAACAATCACTGAGGTCTGAGTTAAATATTTAGATAAGATTATATTATTTTAAGAATATTGGTATTTAATACGTCTTTACACAGTAGTTAATCTGTACTCGGTAGTGCCACAAAGTATATATTTTAATCAACTATGGACGACTATGCCACTATGGTCGTGCGGTCTGGATAACAATAATCAGCCGGTTTACCCCCACTCCTGTTCCTGTTTGGTATAGACTATAATATTATACACACCGTATAATTGCCAGTTGGTGTACTCGTACTGTAATTTACTCATCGTAATGTTATATTATAGTATTATATATATGGTAGTTTTATTTTCATAATTAATTTGGGCCCTTGGTATTTAGTAATTACATATTATTATTTATTTATTTAATTAATATTTGCCTTTTAGTTTTTACCATGGCAACGAACAAAGAAACAAAGTTATGTTTTTTCGTGTTATTTACATTTCGTTCATCGACCACCGTTATAGTACCTATTATATATACATTCATGCAATTTATTGTATGGTTAATATTAGTTATACTAGTTCAACTAGTAGGTAGGTACCTAGT